TAATCATTGTAGCTAGAATTGACGGGTCGAGAGAATTGTGTTTAGCATATAGGTTGTATAGAAGATAGATTTTTATACTCATCGTAAATTTATATTCTGATAAATGCATGTAAAGATTGTGAAGGAAACAACGAATCACATTAACAGCGGGTCCATAATTCGTATATTTTTATTGCCTTGCTTTGTCGAAGCCACAATGCATATCTGTGGATTTGTAAGTGCATGAAATGTAATATGTTATTTTATCAGCAACATGGAATCATTGTCGATAAATTATGCTTAAATAATTTATCATTAAATTAAAATTATTCAAAATGTATACATATAAATCATTTAATTAATCTTATAATATTTTTTTAGAAAGAAATCGCAAAAGTTTCTGGAAATGATTGGAATTTACAAAATTCTTGTCTTATGTACATATAGTTGTATGTAATATATGTCAATTTTTTATATAATTTTATATTTATACATTTTTTATTTATATTTTCTACCTATATATAATCATATAAGATATATTTTTTCCCGGATTGTGCTTCAATATATAAAATATATAAAATAAATATATAAAATATAATATATAAAACATATAAAACTTCAATATATAAAATATTTTATTCAAGTTATCAGCTTCAACTCAAGTCGACACATGTCGTTAGAAGCCATATGAGTAAAAAGCATCCATTAAACGCATTTGTACATAGTATAAAGACATAATGTTTTAAGTATAGTTACGTCAATAATCATTTATCCCTCATAATAACACATGAATAAATATTCCGAAAAATGAAATGCAATCTAATCTAGATTATCTGTGTGCTCAATTCTGTCGTTCAATACTTGCTGGTTGAAGGGTATATACATACGTTATACAATATTATATATTTAAATAATTATAGCGTTGTATATTTAAATAATTATAGTATTTTCTATGAAATAACGTATATCACAAAATTTTTTAGCATATATTTTATCTTTTTTAAGTGTCTACTGTTTTTTATTTATTATCAATGACGTTGCACATTTTATTAACGTCGTTAAATAATAAAACATGAGGCATAAAGTAGGATATAAACCTATAAAAATTCATTCAAAGTGTAATATCAGAATTATTTCATGGCTTTTACAGGAGGTAGTAAATAGCATCAGATTTCATGAAAAAAGTCAATATCATGTTCAATTAAAACTAAATCCAAAAAGGATAAAGCATTTGGAACTGATCCGCAAGTAGTACATGGGGTTTAATTGTGTACAATTGTCATTATTTCACTTAATTACAGTTAAAACATATCAAACGGTACCGATTTGAAATAAAATCATCCATAATGTAATCTTTATGATCGATCATAAGTATTAAATATTTCATTAAATGTTTGATATTGTTCTAGATAAAAATATGAATTTTTTTTCAAGGGTGATCCATAACTAATGGCCTTAATATACATACCTATACATAAATAAAAATTCCGTGAAAAGAAAGACAATCTAATCTAGATTATCTGTGTGTCTATTCCGTTGTTCAATACTTGTTGGTTAAACGGCATTTTTCATACGTTATATCTTCCAGTGTACATATCTTACAGTGTAGTTCTCACAACGTTCTTAGAGAAACTGCGAAAACTATTTCTGAAAATCTTATAAAAAATAGTAAAACGTATTTGTGCCTCGAGCAGCAAGAACTAATTCAGTTAAAATATTAGCCGACCACTCGGAAACTATGACAGAGACACTAGAAAGAACGCTGGCACCATTAATGACCATCGGCAAGTTCTGCAGTTTGGGCGTGTTCGAATATCCTGTTGGACAACTTAGGACATATATTTCTTGTCTGTATGCTTTGGCCAAATGGAGTCTTCTTATGTACTTCTATTACTATCCAGCATACATCGAGCAATATCAGAAAGATAAAACAATATACAGCGATGATATGGTACCGTTTGTCACCGTTATATTAATTCTCATTAGTATCTGTCGTTTTAAGGTAAAAAATTAAAATATACTCCCGGGCACTATATACTAATACTTGATCTTTTTATATTACTTATCATTTGTTTAATAGTATTTTTAAATGAGAGCATTAAAGGAGTCTTAAATTCACAATTATAGGCAAATACAAATTTATGAAAAATATTTATAAAAGGCTTTCGATACCTTCAACCATGATCTAATTTCAGTCAAACTCAAGCTATGCAGTCTATCTTATTCGGCTCTCTAGCTAAACTGCTCGTTTCTTACAAATGGCACGCAGCACGTCCTCATGTATAATCCTTCTCTCTGGAATACTCCAGGGTTCCATTTTCGTTTTACTTTTAATATTTTTGTCTCTGATTTGTCTAACGTTTCTCTGTCCGCCGATCTCTTCGTTTATGCAGGCGATGTAATTCTTCTCAAATCCTTTCATCCGTTCGATGCTTTAGTAGATTATTCTGTTTTAAATAAAGATCTAAAATCTATTTCCGAATAAACAATTCAAGTAGTGAAATACACAAAATTATAGACTTCTTTAATTAATACAATAAAATATAACAGCGAAATTTAATTGGGTGTTAGCAGACTGCGCTGGGTGCTATCTTGCGCAAAAATTAATTGTGAATAATAAATTAGATTTGTACGTTTCGGCTTACGTTTTGAGCCAGCCTCAATAATAATTACCGCTAATCGCGCTAAATACTATGTCGACCTGTATATCACAAAACCGTATTACCCTCCAATTATGCAGTCGCAGTAGAAATGCGGTGAGAAACAACCCTACCCAACATAGTCTGATGTTGTGCCAACCAGTTTCAAAGCTGAGTGAAGCAGATGGTGGATCTCAAGCTATTATTTGTATCAAGGATTTATGAACAGATAGAGATTAATTTTATGTTATTTATAAATAACGGCAAAAACTCACCCCACCTCCAACATGATCGCAAGCGAATCCAAACATCGTCAACCCATTAAACAAATTTAAGATTCACAATCATCAATGTTCGATTAAAAATAATTTAAGATCCAAAAAAACTGTTATGTTTGTTCCGATGTTGGTCACATAGTAACCGTTAAAACAAAAAGAGATGTGTCGTCATAACAGAAGCCTGTCGGTTAATTATAGAAATAAACATATTATAACTTGTTGAGAATTTCTATGTAACTATAATTTAATGCCTCAGTGTCAGTTTAAATGTTGAATCATTTGATTGACGATTTATGTAGAGTATCTCCGACATTGTTCGTTTATTATAATTTCTCTCAGTATCCAGAATTCTCACATTATCCTGGTCGAAATCATGATTGCAATATACCCTATGCTCTGTGATAATTGAACGAGTGGATGTAAATCTACGTATATGGTTACAGTGTTCTGCTAATCTCGTTTTTAATTTTCTTCCCGTTTGGCCTACATAGGAATCGCAATTACGATCGCATTCGGTCTCGTAAATTACATTCCTTTTGGAAAATCTTTGCAAAGGATCTTTGTGTATTGTAATAAATTTGTTAAGTTTTTATTGATACTATAATGAAGCAATTCTACAAGACAGACCATCAATAAATTTGCAGAACTTATTAGATGTTCCATTGATGAAAGGAACTGTAAATCATCTGATTTGTTCTTTTTTAATCTTGTTAGTAGTAGTATTGTAATTAGAATTGGATTTTTCAATTAATTTTTTTATTTTATCAGGCAATGTTTAAGAAATAAATTTCAACGGATAGTCACATTTTCTAATACAATTCTAATCAAAAAATTTAAATTTCTTTTGTAAAATTCTGAATGTGGGAAGTGAAAACTCTTTTCATGATGCCTTTCTTTTGTGAAATCGTATTGTGAGCAGTGGCGGATTAACGAATTTGCCACCCTTAAACCATTCATACCTTGCCGCCCCCCTTCCCCATATTTCACGAATGATTCGCGACGATAAAAGAAATTAAATGTACAGCTATATGTATATATATATAGTTAATTAATCCCTAGTACATGTTTTTAAATTATCAAAACGTAAATATTCGTATTTTCTGATTGTTAATATTATGTACATTTTATATTTTTCTATATTATTTACTGAGAAGTTTCTATTATATTTTAATATTATATATAATATATTTACCCAGATCATATGAAATAATGTAAGAGAAGTATGACCAAAAAATTCAATTATAATCACAGCTTTTATTTCAGTTGGTATTTTATTATAGGACATGAAACATAAGATAAATTAGACAGCTTTGCGCCTCGATTTTTTTTTTTGCAAAGTCATTTATGATATCGTCAAAGTCCAAACTATTTAGAATATCTGATTCTATACAGAGGATAGATAGAGCGTTGAGTCGGTCTCTGATATAGTTGATCGAAGGTAATTTTTTATACGTCGCAAGAAAGAGAATGAACGTTTGGCTGTGCAATTTGCTATGGGAGTGCACACATACATCCGTAATGCTACGTCAAGATTAGGATAAAGATTTCGCAGATTTTTTTCATACACCCATTTACAAAGCTGAAATGGTGCCTTCGGAGTTGGATTATCCGTATCTACATCAATATGTTCCTTAAAATGGTGCAGTTCACACAACAATGAGTCCTCTAAATCATTTGGATATCGACTTAGTAGAATCTTTCCTGCTTCTTCCAATTGCACGGTTGTGAGCTGGTTTATTTTCGATATCGCAGCAAATTGTTGGTCGTATTGTGCATACGCAATTTGTCTTTTAATTAACTCTCAACGTAATTGATCAATAATAACCAGAAATGTATTTCTTTTGAAGTGTTCGCTACCAGTTATATCCAATTCTTTATCAGGTTCCTCGTCATGATGAAGTTTCCTCTTTCTTTTTCTTTGAGTGTCAAACTAAGTTTTGACACTAGATTTATTAAGAGCTTTATCTTCAAACAATTTGAATTACTCCCGAGTAACTTCTGTAAGTGTTACAAGGGACTTATACAACTCAATAACGGTACTTAAATCAATACCGACTTTTTGCAGTAATTTATTTGTTGCGTTTAAGCGATCTAACAAGAAGCCTCAAAACGTAGCCATAAATGCCGTTTCAAGTCTTTCTAGTTGTAAATGCAAGGCTTTTGCTTCAGTTCTAGTAGATGCCTTCTGAGTTGAATCCTGTTCTAATGCTATAATAGCGTTCAGGATTACTGACCAGGACTCCATCAGAGCTTTACGAGCGTCATCACGTGCAGACCAAGTGTTTGAGAAAGACTCTTCAATGAAATTGACCTTGATGTTGAGGCAAGTGAAGAACTTTTTTGTAGGACCTCCCATCGATATGTTGAAGCTGTGAAAAAATTGTACAATAGCTGAAGTAAACTAAAAAACGATGTTGCTTCGGGACAGCACTCAGCAGAACAGATCTCAGATCAGGTTCAAAGAATGTGCAGAACATGGAACATACTTAGCCAGTGAATTTACGTTCTTGATTCTCGCCTGAAATCCCGAATATACACCTGACATGTTGCTGGCATTGTCATATGATTGACCACGACAGTCATTAATATCTAATTTGTAAGTTTCTAGTGTTGTAATTACAACATTAAATATATCTTCTGCTTTGTGGCCAGTGTTAGGAATAAATTTGATGAAACGTTCAACTGGCAAACCACTCTTATTTATATAACGCACGACAAAAGAAAGCTGGTCAATGTGAGATATGTCAGGTGTAGAGTCTACAATAATTGAAAAGTACTTTGCATCTCTAATTTCGTCAATGATCTTTGAAACGACTTTGTGAGCAATTATCTGGATGAATTCATTACAAATTGTTGAAGATAAATAAGAAGTATGTCCACGACCTGGGTTACCAACTTTGTTAATGTGATCTGCTAGAAACGAATCATATTTAGCAATTACCTCCAGTAACATCATATAATTTCCATTTTTGTTCGATCCAAATTTTTCTTCATGGCCCCTAAAAGATAAACCTCTTGAAGCAAGTGTCTTTATTACTACAACTACTCTATGAAGAACTTTCCTCCAGTAGATCATTTCTTCATCTAGCTGTTGGATCAGGTGTTTGTCTACTCTGCCTAACACAATTCCCTTTTCTTCATATCGAGAACGCATGTCTTATGATTATTAGAATTTTCGTGTTTCTTTAGACACTCTGAAGCATTCTTCCAGTCGTTGAAGCCTTTCGTATTAAGTACTAAATGTTGAGCTGCTCCTGTTTGGAATAAACGACATGTACCACAAAAAATGTGTCCCGTGCTCTCAGAGTAGACCAACCATGATCGTGGCTGAAGTTCTCCATTTGCAAGCTTTCTATTAAAAATATTTTTAGTCAGCATTCGAGTCTTATCCGTGTACTGTCGTTTTGATTTAGAAAAGTCAGCATTCTTGTTTTGCTTATATCCGTACATGGCCACATAATCTCGAGTATAGTCATTAATAGGCCACTCGACAGGATCACTTGGCAAAATTTGATCTGCATCTGCACAACGGTCATTATTTATTGTACTGAGCTCTGGAATGCAAATATTTTGGACTATTTCTTTCTCTCTCATCAATTGGAGGGATAAATGTACAAGCGTTGTCGATTGTATCATAACTTGAAGAAGTAACATATGATTCGCTATTTATATCAGGATCGGCATTCTGTTGGACTACTTTTACAAATTCATTCAAAGGTTTAAAAAATATGTCTATTTTTGAGGTTTTGTTTGAAATAATTTCTTCTTTCAACTTTTTTATTTGCCTTAGTTTATTGTATTGACTTCCACTAAGCCTCTTTCTTCCATCACTCATTGTGACAGTTTTTATTATCAAAAACTGTAAAAACAAAGAAAATTGCATGAAAAACGCAATATTTACCGTCACTTTAATTAGACACTAAATATATTTCCAAAAGTAAGGGGATGATTACAAAAACAGGATTCATTATGGTTAAAAACATAAATTCTTTTCAAATAAATTTTTGTATAAATTATATTCTTGATGGACAATAAGGAGATATAAGGTT